CATAAAGTCCATTTCAAAACTACAGCCCTTTAAGAAGAATCTTGTCTGCCATCTGCTGGACACTTTTTGTTGTGCTTATTTTGTCTTATTTTGCAAATGCTGCCTTCCTGAAATTTGGTATGCTTGTTTGTCTTTGTGTCTGTGGTGTATAATGATGTGATTGTGATGCTGTAATTCTGAGTGTTTTATGTGCTGCAGAACAGGAACCTGCTGTAAAACAGCAATTGATAAAACTATGAATAAAAGATTATTCTGTTTATTGTCAGATTAATAAGAACAAAATATCTTTTTACTGTTTAAGAAAACATGTTATGACTTTAAATGAACAGAGTTCTGTCTCTCTGAACGAGGCCTTCCTAGAGCAAGGTCAAAGACAGTTGGAACTGTTTATTCCACCCCTAGGTGACCACTACACGTGCTTGTGTTGCCGCAGTTTAGCTGAAAGTTTAGTTAAAAATAAATGCACAGGTAATGTTTTCCTCCTTGCCTTTGTTTTAAACTAAACCTTACACTTTTAGCTAAACTGAGGCAGCACAAGCATGCAACACAGAAATAAAGACTTGTTGAAAAAAATATAAAAATACTTAAGTATAAACATTTAGTTTTTTTTTTTTTTTTGGTCCACTCTCGGAGGAGTAAGACGCTTCTTCCTTCTCTCCTGCCCTTCCTTATCTTTCCTGCTTTGCTGCTTGGAGTCTTCTCTACATTTTTCATCCAAAACCAGAAATTATGGTTATTTTTATGGATTTGATTAGCTGATCTCTTAATAAAACTTTTGGAACAAAGTTTTTTCTTCTTCCATGGGAGGACATATCTAAGGTGGGTCCTCTGTTCTTCTTTGTTCTGGATATATTTATCTGGACTTCGATCACTGGATTCTACAGACTAGCTTGGTGGTCTCCTGGTGTTCTACAAAACAGCGTCGGTGGCTTTTCATCTCCTGGCTGACTGACCAACTGGATGGACAGCTGTATTCTATCAGCACTTGGACATTTGCCTTGAGTGAGCTGGATTCGGTCTGCAAACGGTTCTATTGAGGGTTGCGGGCCGGCTGTGGTCCCTGGACTTTGCTGGCCAGATGGAATTCATCTTGGAGGAGCTGATGGATCGGCTCGGCGGAATTGGTCCACATTTTATTTGTCTGATTGGATACACCACCTTTGAGATGCACCAGCAGAACTCTAAAGCAGATGGAAAATTGTTATCATCTGCCTGTCTCTTCTGTTCCCAAAACAACTGATTACAGGATTTGGATCTTCCCTACAATGACCTTGATCTGTTGACTAAATTCTTCCTGGCTTGATATGTTGACAAGGCTCAACCCCCACACCTCCCCCTCTCCTCTCTTGCCCGTTTAATTCTCGTCTCCTGAGTGGGGTGGGGGCTCACAGAATGAACAGTACCATCAATGTTGTGAACATTGACTGTGCTTGTTTAGGGGACTGGATTCCCCCCCCCCCCCCCCAAACTCACTTACTCCTCTGGCTAATAAATCTGCCCTACGCAGAGTTTTTTTTCATAAACACCATAATATATCACAGTGTTGATATAATATGATGTTTTTGTTTTTTTCCTCATCTTCCCTTGTGTGGTTTTTCTGTTTTTTTTTTTTTTTCTGTTTAAGATGGCACCACGGTAGGCAGCCTTTTACTGCAGCTCCCCTGTCTTGAGTTGCTGCAATGTGCAAATTTTTCCATTGTCTGATCCATGAAGTTCTATCTTGTCTTGTCTTGTCTTGTCTTGTCTTGTCTTGTCTTGTCTTGTCTAGTCTTGTCTTGTCTTGTCTTGTCTAGTCTAGTCTAGTCTTGTCTTGTCTTGTCTTGTCTTGTCTTGTCTTGTCTTGTCTTGTCTTGTCTTAAGACATACAAATGCATGTACAAGTAAAAGGAAAGCAATTAATATATATTATACAAAAACAATAAAATTTAAATTATGTGTTCAAATATATAGACTAATTTGTTGAAAAATAAATATGAAAGGCAATTAAAATATAAAACAGGAGATAAAGTTCTCCTTTTTTAATTTAATTGGTACATTTTAAGTGTATTTATTTAGTGGTTCATATTATTCTGCTTTTATTTCTAATTATGTCAGTTTTGATCCTCTACTGCAGAAGCCTGATAATCAAATATTCATTCATATCAGGTGTGTTGGAGCAGAGAAACAAGTAAAACATGCAGGGCTGCAGCCCTCCAGGACCAGGATTGCCCATGCTTGTCCTAAACAAAAGCAGCTCTCTCCAGGAGGAAATTTGCTGTCAATCAATCCAAGAGTTAATCCACGGGCAGAATTCTGCTGACATCAAAATCGCAGCTGCTGTATTCGCTTCTACCCAAACCACCGGAGAGGAGGTTCTGAGACAGCACATCCGTGGAGATTGTGTGCCGAGGCTGTCACTGTTAACAGTGAACACCAGAGGGCGCAAATTAACAGCTTTCTTTGTGGCACCGAAATAAGGCACAGAAGTTAGAGTTGTGTTTTCATCTGTGTGCTACCGTTGATGTTCGCCTAGGTGCCATTCTGGAACCCAGTTTTGGTACCCAATCCTAAACATGACTGAACACCAGGTTACTGAATGCACTCAGTAATGAGTAAAGCAACTGGAACCAGGCCTTACTCTACTGTACTCCGGCCCAGACTGTCAGCTTTGAGCAGAGAGCTGCCTCAGTGTGTGTGTGATCATAATATTAAACACAACTGAACCTGAATGCATGACTCCTGAGTGTAAAATGATAGAGTTATGAATCTGGTTCTAAATGGTTAAAGTTGGCTATGATTGGGTATGAACTTGGTCATATGTTTTGTTTTGTTTGTTTTTGTTGACAGCTATAAAGTACGACCCGACCAACGTGCGCTACCTGTGGGAGCGCTCCAGCCTCCACATGCGTTTAGGAGAACACAAACAGTGTATGGACGGGTACCGCCGGATCCTGTCCCTGCTGCCGCTGGAGGACGGGGAGCATTTCATGCAGCTGTCCAAGGACATGGCTAAGTACTGGAGACACATCAGTGGAACATGTCTAAATAAAGGGGACACATCCGTAGACTGTGTTTCTACAGTGTGTGTGTGTGTGGTGTAGGAGTTACTACGAGAGTAACGACCTGACCTCAGCGCTCGGTGTGATTGAAGAAGCTCTGGATCGACACCCCAGCTTGGTCAGTGATGACTTCATCAACATGGCCGCCGAGCTCTACATCTGCAGCCACCAGCACAAACAGGCCCTGCAGGTAAACTCACCTGAGTGTTACCAAGCTGATTGTGTCGTTAAAGACGGGGACTCATTTTTGTGTTTTCATGTTTTTCAGGTTTTAGTCAAATTCACCGGCGTTGTTCTGGTTCGAGCTGAGCCCAGGGCAGAAGTCACGGCGCCGTCCCAACCAGAGACTGAGAAGGAGGAAGAGGACACACCATCCAACTGCCCAGAGGAGAACGGTGAGAAGACCTCTCCCACAGCAGATCTGTGCAGTTAGATCCTGGTCCAGGTAGTAAACTGATGTGTCTCCAGGTGAGGTCATAGAGGTTCAGGTTCCAGACAGCGTCCCTGTAGACCTGAGGGCCAAGCTAATCGTCTGTCTCATCCAGCTGCACGCCCTGGCACCTGTGGAGGTAAGCCACCCTGCTTTTACTGCTGACGTTTGTCCTAAACAGGATTCTGCTTGATAAGGCAGCGTGTTTTCTGTTGACAGGGCCTGGTGTCGTCCCTGATGGAGCAGAGTCCGGAGGAGATCGGAGACCTGTACCTGGACGTAGGTGAAGCCTACATCGAACAGGGGAAGTACTTGTCTGCTCTGCCTCTGCTGTCGGCCCTCGTCATTTCAGAAAAATACAACCTGGCTGTCGTCTGGCTGCGACATGCAGGTGAGACTAACAGAACCCAGGATCACACTGTCCACCTTAGGATCCTTTCAAAATAAAATACAAAAGCTGGAACAACCACTCCCGTTCTTTTATTTTCTCAGGAATGGAGACAGGAGGTACATGTTGTGACTGTTAGTTGCACATTATCCATTTACGATATTTATTCATGTATAATACGATCTTCAATTTTTGAGCTTAAAAGCATAAAAACTCTAATCATCAATAACCCGTGTATAATACTCCCCCCCCAACACACACACACACACACACACACACACACACACA